AGGAGACTGTGTTCGTCAGACCTCTAACCATTGACCAACCTGGTATGAGGGACTCTGTGAGTGTCGCGGGACACTCTCCAGTATAGCTCACTGGATCGCTGAGGTGCGCAAACCGTCACACCACAGTAAGGTCCAGTCTCTTCGTGACGGAATGGAAAGCCTTAGGATTGATAGAGGGCATCGCAAAACTCCGAGAAATAGGGGATTGTTTGCAATGAAAAACAACCACACCCCGTTCAAACTATTCTGATCAACTGGTTCGAGGAAGGCAGTTGTTATTGAAACTGTTCACATTGTCGTGTTCAACGTTGAGCTTAACAGTTCAGCTAGCCCCCAACAACTCATTCTATGGAAGGGCCGAATGAACCCGAATGGAACGTCCATAGCGGTCTGCCGTTGACATAAAAATTCCACCGTGCAATTTCACTGCTTCAGTGAAACGAAGTACTTGTCTCAGACGGTTTGCATCCAGTGCCCTTCAAAGGTAGAGTCCCTCATGGCTTTCCTGAGGACTTGACTTCAAAATATCTGGAGTGAAGAATGGATATTGGCCGAATGGAGCACTTTAAGGGATGAAAAGTGTGCAGGATCATGCGAAAATTACCGTCTAGTTGCCGTAGCGTTGAAGGTGCTATCTGACACCTTACGAAAACTGATCTATCATTGGGAGTGTCAGATTTGCTAGAATCAACCTGGGTTTCACCCTGGTCGTGATTGGGCTGATCACATCTTCACCTTACAGCAAGTGCTGGAACTGCGCCATAACTTCCTATGACCAACAGTGGTAGTCTTCCTCGATCTCAGGTCTGCTTCTGACTCTGTTGATTGTCGAAAACTGGCAGTGCCGAACGATGAAGAATGCTCATCCAAAATTCTTGTCTCTTATAAAGGCTTTATATGCCTCCGCCTGTGAGCGCGCTCATGTCCGTGGCAACTCATCTCACGAGTTCATCACATTCAGCGGTGTCAGCCAGGATGTCTTTTGTTGGTTTTTCTCTCTAACTTTTTAAGCGATGTGCTACCTAGATCGAAATGTTCTTCGGGCTTTCGCTCACAGACATTTCAGTACCCTTCTTAGATCATACTCTTTAGAAACGAAAGCTATTTTAAATGACCTAAGTAGCCGGACAGCTACATAAGTCCCGGCGGGCTGGCGAAAGGTGAAATCACCTCCCGAATTGGGAGAGCTAGGATATCGGTTGCCAACCTCCGGTAGTTGTGGCACCGACGTGATATCGACTTGATTGTCAAGGGTAGAGTGTACAATATTGCGATCCCATTTGTCTTACTTTATGTATTTTATGTACTTTATGTATCTACGCATGGCTGATCTTCGGAGACTTGTGTCTCACCATTGGTGCATCCTAAGCATTGCACAGGTATGGTGGGAACATCGGATCAGTCACGCTGAGATTCAATAGATGATCTTCGGGAAAGTCTACTCTCCTTCAACGGATCGGCTGGCCGCAATCCATAGGCTACAGTGTTTACGCCATGTACTTCGTATGACATAGGACCGTTTACATCGTAGAACCGCATTAACTAACCGTATCAAGTCCTCGCAGATTACAGCTAACCGTTGGACGGCTCTTTGGATGAACCTTTTCTAAACTTATGCTCCTCGCTGACTGTTAACAGTAAACAAAATAACACCCTTCTAAATTCATGAGATCTTTTCTATATAGGAGATTTTAACGTCCGTACTCTGTATCATATCGGCAAACAGGCAATGCGGGCTGAAACATTATACTCCCTTAAAATGTCTCCGGAACACGCATACAAGACTCAAGCGTGATTGGGCATCTCAGAACGCCAAGGAGGAACTCAACTCTTCCAGATTACTCTCTCCGTGTGTCCGGAGACCCAGAAGCGATGACTCATGGACTATATGGCGTGCGAGTTAGCCATTGTGAGACATGGCCCGGTCGCACCCTCAATGGCGCTCGTGCATTCAAGCTACTACCTTCACTGCATAGATCCCTTCCAAATCCTCCCACATAAAAGTCCACTGACAGCGCTTTATTTACGCACCAGTTTATCAGCTCCCGCCTCCAATGCACAGCGACCTACCTCACCTCCCCAAATCATCGGTGAACGAAAGTGTAGCATCTGCAACTGCTGTACGACAAGTACAGCTGACAACAATGATGATGATGGCTGTCCATGATGACATTTTTGGTCACATCATCATCATCGAAAACAGCAAAATCCATGTTGACACTGATGCCTCACTGCCGTACAACCATAAGGTTCGTCCAATTATACTTAAAGCCCTGGAGTGAAAATAAGAGAAACAGAGTAGGTGAGGGAGGGGACCTAGTGCTGGCCTATGCCAAGCGTTTTGAGGTTCTTGCACCTTCAACCGCTCAATCAGACAATCTGGAGAGAAATTGACAGCACGAATGCCACTGACATCGATTAGCCACTATTTCTTACAACGTCTCCAGCCAGGCACAGGCGGGGTCACGGGAACCCCATCCTGGAAGGCGCACATCACCAACACACAAACTCTTCGTGATCTCCTTCACGCCTTTCTGCCAATTCATGCGCTGTCCACCTGGCAGTTTGCACCATTTCAAAGGAGACGCAGAGTACAACACTCATCTCAGTAGACGGTTGTCAGGCCGCGCCCAGACATGGCATCATCATCATCATCATCATCATCGACAGCAGGCGCAGTGAAATCTCAACACCGATGCTTCACTACCCAGACATGAAGAAAGTACATGTGCAGAAAGTGATGCATCTCCAAGGTCACCATCTGTACGACACGTCCAGAAAGCAGGTGCGTTGGCGCAGCTCACCAAACACGGCTTAGCAACATAAGACCAGTGGAGTTGGGCTGAAATTGTTCACGACCGGAACACCGCCATTGGCTGTACAAGACGAACGAATGAACTATCATATTTGGCCATTTGGTCATCCTATATATTTGCGCAGGAGCTCTGTATGTTTTGTCCTGACAATACAGCCGTGTCCCGAGTTCTCTGTCTTCCCCGTATCGCGTAGTCTGACGGGCTCAGTGCTGGCGTAACCCAATAGAAGGCCACCCACGATACAACAACGGTGTTTCGGCATGCGTAATAATAATTTTTTGATGATTATCCAGCTGTAACACCCTTTCGGTGCCTAGCTACCATGCCACCATAAAGAAGCACGAGGGCTGGGATACTGCCAGATTTCCCAAGCCCAGACAGGGGAAGTCGAGAGCCAGTGGTCGGGTTCGAACCACGGGCCTTCCGGTGAGTGCATTCTTGCTAAGCCTTCTCGGCATACATAGCATATGACCGAGCCATCGTAGTCAGTGGTGCTGGATGCTTACCTGCCGCACAACTAAATACCATTTTTCTGATCACCCCGTTACTAGCACGCTAATCCATGCTGTTGGGAAAGGTACAAAATCTAGCGCCAGCCAACAACAGTTGAACTCAGTCTAGGTTTTAATCGCACACCTTGGACCTACTGGGGTGTTAAGAAGGCCGTTCAGAAGAAAGACCCCCCTTGTGAATGGATTCTCTTCAGAGAAGATTTTGTACTAAGTTGTGGTTCACGAGGACGCAACTGTGGTCTCAATTCTCAGATGCCTACTCACTGGGAGTATTGTGTTCAAAGTTTGGCATGTGAAATACGCTACCGGAAGATAAATCTGCACCGAAAGCATTTATTCTGATGACGTAAATCTGGAGAGTAAAATTAAATGAAAGGTGAAAAATATTTTGCAGGCTTGCTTCAGCTGGTCATGTCACTTACTGAGACCAGGCTACAGGTGGCTATTGACCTGAACAATGGACCCTGGACAGGGTAGTAGAACTGAAGATGAAGCCATGAAAGGCGGTGGAGGACGCTATTCAGCCTACTGAGAGACAACCTTTTTGGCGCTTATGGTTACTTAGGTTAGCATCGCATCCCTCGGAAGACAGTGCAAACTCAATTGAAGACAACTTTGTGAATAGCTGAAATGCTTTTCAGATTTTTTGTTCCACGATATGGAACACTTTACTATCGCGAATACAGAAGAGGCCAGCCGCTCCTTTCCTTTAGATGGCCTCCCTTCGGATAGATTATGTGCTTCTGTGCTCTAACGATGAGCTGACAGGCGTTAAATACACTACTTTAGTTTTCAGTGCATCTGAGGCTGCTTAACTTCCGAATTGCGTAAATCTGGATACATTCACCTTGTGACCCACATCAGATAACATTGCAGGCTCTTCTCCCCCAAGAATACGAACTTTTGGATCTAGGCTATCATTTGGTAATAAATTTGGCCATATCGGTTTACAACGCGCCTGAACCTCTCGCCAGAAGCCGAATCAATTGGTGACTTCATTTGCATTACAGTTTTTTGGTGTTGTGTGAAACGCAACAGTCGTCGGACCGATATATTATAATTTCAAATATTCTACGCTTGTGTACCTCCTTTGGTGAGTATTTTTTCGTTTCTGAGACATGTTATATCGTTGCCTGCCTCTCCTTTCAGCTGAGTAGGTTGGCCACATCCACCCTCGGTATGAATGAAATTTTCCCGGGCTTATGGATAGGATCCTGCCCGTTCAAAGAAAACGCTCCCAATCTGTTGAGATTTGGAATCAAATCTATCCTGACTTTGGATGCGTTGCCCTTGTCGGATGGAGTATTCGATTGTTTCAATCGAAAATTCATCAGGCTACTTGATGAACCCAGTCAGGACGTGCTGGACATCCTCGAAGAGGCCTTAGATTTTATCGATTTATCTCTCACGACCGGAGGAATTTTAGTGCACTGGTAATAGTCGTATTTTCCTTCTCATGATATTTTGCAGTGCCATGGGTGTGTCCAGAAGTGCAACAATTGTTATTGCTTATGTTATGCGCAAGAATAAACTATCTTACGACTCCGCTTTGGAGATAGTTATGAAAAAACGCCTTGTCTAGTAGGGACCTTGCCTTAGAGATTTCATTCTTCTCATTCAGTCCAAATATTGGATTCGTCAATCAGTTAAAACTATTCGAAGTAATGAAGTGGAAAGTGGATCGAAAATCACCCGTCTACACGCAGTATGCCAGCATCCGGACGTTCAGAGGTTCCAATATTGGTTTGCATTCCCATTACAGTTTATTTCTAACTGGCTAACAGCCTACAACCGTACTGATTCATCTACAACTATAGCAACACGAGACCCTGTCCAACCGGCCACATTCAAATGCCGCAAATGCAGGTTAGTATTCCGAACTTATTTGTTTTAACAATCTTTGCTCGCACTCACAGACGCGCATTGTTTTCTTCGGCGAATCTGGTTAGTCACTGTCTTCCGGATAGCACCACACCATCATCGGAATCGGTGGACGTTGATGGAGAGGATAATGTCGAGATCTCGACAGTCTTGATCAAAGGTATCACCCTGAATGCAGTCCCAACCCCGTGCACCCGCGATGAATTGTTCACTGATCCACTGGAATGGACTAGACCCTATACGCACGAGGTTGAGGGGAAAGTACGTCTTTGCTATGTAATTTGACCTTTTATTATCTTCCCTGGTCATAACGGTTTTAACCACAACAATCGTGTTCGAGAAATATGTTGGACAGCTGATAGTGCACCCCGTTGTATTTGTGACGGGGGTATGTCTGTCGACATCAACCATCGATACCTGTCTCCTGAGCTCCATGCGAGCGGACAGGAACTGCCGCTTAAGTCATGTATGAGGTGCTACGATCGTTCGCTACTATTTCATAACTTGGCTTCTCCTCGGCCGTTCCCTGTTTTGTGCACTTTGGAGCGAGGAGAGGTGCTTCTCCCGCTGTCATATAACTCAGGATGACTTATGGAGTGTTATGGGTTCATTTATTGTCCTTTAAATATCGCTGAATGTAAATTGAACCCGCGCCTCAACCAGATTCAGGCAATGCTTTAAAAACATGGGTAATCGAAATAAGATTTTTCCCGCGGATTCTGCTTTTGGCAGCTCTCGATTCATTTAATAATTCATTCATTTAATAATATGTAGCACACTTCAGCATTGTGAACCTGATCTTTAACTAACAAACTGACGTCACTTGTAGGTTCGCAAAGTCCACCTAGCCCTCTGTATCATTCTGACCATACCACCGTAGACCGTTCATGCTACCCAGGCAAGGGCAACTCGGAGCACATTGAGTAGATATTCCGTAAGTTTTATCCAGAACTTAAAAGTGACGCTTTGTTTTTTGCAGTAATGAAGGGCACAGTAGATCACTTTGGGGAATTATCCAATCTTTTTTCACGGGATCAGACCTTAGAAGCGCTGTTTCTTCTGCGTACTAGATGAACTTGAGTGAAAATGCTGAGGATATTTCGATCCGTTGGAATGTTAGAGGCTGGTTGAGTTTCATTCATGGATAATTTGGTAACGAAGGTACAAAAGAAGGCAGAGGAAGAGCATAAACTTGTCTAGAGAGAATCAAAGTAGTGCATTCAGGCGAAAGCTTACCTCATCCACAGGAGTTTGAATAATGCATTTAGTTGAGTCTGGGTGATTATCGCTCCCACAGTCGTAGTTATTTGGGTGACCCAGCGAGCCATGCTATATAGTGCCCACGCAATCTTCACAAAGTTTCTAATCAGGTTGACCAATGGTCTGGCAAGAAATTCCTCCTGCTTCTTTTTCGTTGGGACTGGAACGTATAGTGATTCGTCCCCTACCAAAGAGAGTCCTTTAACAGTTTTCTATAGACCATCGTTGTATTGCCTTCAGGCTTTGGAGCTAGGTGATTGATTGATTGATTGATTGATTGATTGATTGACTGATTGGGGGTGTTTACTGTCTTCTTGTTTGGGTTCGAGCAACCATAATCTACGCAAACCTAGCCCGTGTGTGGCTTCAGCTAGATTGTTCCATTCGGTGTATGTAGTAGGTCAGATGAACGAAACTACACTCTGCTTTCAGTATTTTATCTTGACGCTTATTCTGCTCTTCCTAATAGTTACCCCTCTGTAAAAGTAGCTGTATTGCCTACTCGGACTCCTTTGTCGGTCTCGCGAATTGCCAGGCAAGTTGATTTCGCGCGCACTGTCCACCCTTCATTGACAGGTGTTTGTTGCATTTCGAATGCTCAAATACAAGATCCAAGTACATTAATCGGGCCTCCGCATCCTTTCTATCTAGATGCTGTTTAATCTGATCTCCAGTGCATCTGCTGTTGCGGGTTGCTCCGAGGTCTTAGTACTCACCGCTGAGCTGAGATCTTAGTTAGCCGGGTACCCGTGCACCCCTTTGTCCACTTTTATGAGAATTCTGAACAATAATAATCATTTAGCTGTAACGCGCTTTCGGTGCCTAACTGCCACATCACCCGAAGGAAGCTAGGATGTTGCCAGGTCGAGGTGTGGAGATCGAGTTCGAACCACGGACCTTCTCAGTAAATTCGCGCACTAACCTTTGAGCCATCTCGCCCCTCTGTAAGAACTCGCACTGACGAAAGTCCTCACCACTTTTCGGTTATAACTTGGATTTACGCACCAGGCAACTGTAGGTCTGATTCGCTGAAAGACCATTTCAAACCAACCACTCTGTCTTTCATCACGGATATCGTCAGAATCGCTGAAGCGCCTCACTCGATCACGTCTCACTCCATCGGACACAATTTTTGACCGTACAATTCAATGATACTTTGTACACAAGACTTGGTGATAATCATGAACGTCTTTTATAACTTTGTGCGGACTACCAACCGTTTCTCATTAAGCTACTTGGGTGCTGCCGAGCACCCGGAATGACCATATATGGATATTATCTCCCAACGCTGAGGTTCGTGGTTGCCGGTCGTTCCGGAACAAGTTGATCCAAATCATTCTTTTTCTCAGTGTGAATTTTTGTCAATCTTTGGAAAACGCAAGAAATAGACTCCCGATTTAGTGGCCAAGGATTCTGTGAATTCGAAGTCCTACCTAAGCCAACTATATGGAGCTTCAAAGGCAGTTATTTGTAGCGGGAAACTCGGCATCTGTAGTAGGTAGCTAACTTGCCGTCCGGAGAAGCATCGCTGCCAAAACTGCAGTTTTGTGGATCGCCACCCTAAACTTCTCTCTCCATCCCCTCATTTGTCAGTCAGACACAATGTGAGAAGAATACTGGGTCTTTTCGCACATTTAATCTGAAAGCCTCTTGGTTTAGAAGGCATCGACCCATCCTTTTTGTTTTCTACCCTATCTGTTCTATTCCTCCCAGCCACTCAAATTCCTGGTAACGGTGAGCTTACTCATCTGTGCTGGGATTATGTCAGGTGTAGTTTGTGACGGATGCTAGGTCTATCCCGCTGTTGGCGCCTTACTTCGACATGACGCCGAGATGTACTTAGTTTGAGGCTGCCCAATGGCGTAGGCACTAAGTCCCTTGTCTTTTCTTTCCATTGTTTACTGAGGCTTTCTTCTGTCATACCTATATGGCAGTTAAGTCCCTGTATGTGGGGGCTAGATGACCCAAGTGGTTGGAGCGCGAATTTACTGACCGCAAGGTCCGTGGTTCGAATTCGACCTATGCCTCTCGACTTTCCCCGTCTAGGCTTGGGCAACCCGGCAGTATCTCAGCCCTCGTGCAACCTTCGGGTGGCATGGCGGAGTCCCTGTATGTATCACTCGCGTACTGCTGTCACTGATAACACTGACGACTTCTCCGGGACCTCGCTACTTCTATCATCCAAATGTTGAGATGCTCTGCTGCTTAAGTTGCGTCACAATCAGCTCTAGGTTTGATATGAGGACGATCCAACACGTTTGTAACGTGGTCCTGACTCCCCTCGGTAACACGTTTCATTTTCTTATATAAGTTTGCGAGATATAACCATAATTCCATAGAGGTTCTGAGGGATCACTAATTTTTCTAGCCCTTTTGGCTCGACGGACTTTAGTTTTTTTTCTGGGTGACAATCGCCTCGAAGCCGGGTTGAACCAGTCTAAGCGATCTGTACTGTTATGCAAGATCCGAGGCCCCTAGAAAATCCTCCACAATTCATACATGATTTCCAAACCCAGATAGCAGTTTATCCACGTGTACCAATTGACTATATCCGACGTTTTGATTTCCTACCCTTCAGCTCTACTGTCCCGGTTGCCAAGCCAAGGTTGGTTCCTTCAACTGGTGTGGTGAGTTCCACTGTTGTATTCTGCACTTCTCTTTGAGGTAAGAATTAGTGACCGTAGCCGAAACTGCGCCGTGCTCTAAGGAGGTGGCAAACGGCCAGCGAGTCGATGCTACTTACAGATTCCATCCGTGGGGTCGCCAAAGTTGACGCGTTTGATGACGAATGATTGTGGCGGGAGAAACTGCTGTTGAACCTTCAAACTCGTGTCGCTCTTGTTTGGTCATTGTAAACGTGGAATGTTCCAGCTTCTAATGTTCTACACAGATTTGCAACAAAAATTGTAGAAAAGGTCTTACACTCGACGGTTGCGCAAAACCTTATTGAGGATACTTGCTTTTCTCCATCTTCTCTGCTCCCGTTCGACTTGGGACGAATTCAAGTTCTCTCTGTTTGTCACTCGAGGCATTTTCTATTGCCATAATGATATGTTATTCACATACATTTCTCGGAACTCTAAAAAAAACACTCGGCCGCGTAATAAGAGGATGCGAAACATGTTAAAAGACGATGCAAACTCAGTGCAAAAATAGGCATATTTTAGATCTCCACACACCCATTCCTCATTTACTGTCTTCAGTCCATTTATGTTATTGAACAGCGTGTTCACAGACCCCTTCAATGTATCCGGTGCAGCTTCGGAAGTGTGTGTATCGATACGGCCGTGCGAGATGGCCTGATCAGCACTCTGAAGGATCAACGGTAACCTATCTACTTAGATAGTACGGACAGGAGCATTTGTCGTGTTGAAGTGCTATTTTCTCAAGTTGCTCATTCCTGGATGTAGAAATCGGAAGTGATTTTGTGTTTAGTCTAACCAAACAAAGCCCAAAACATCCCGCATTCTCTCCAAATCCCCGAACGATTCTCTCTCGCGACTTCAGCTTCAGTTGTTTCACCCATTTTCTCTCATTTTCTATCAATATCAAACCACCCAGGTAACACATTCTCATTTCTAGACATTGGTTTTCCCATTGGTGACTTCAGAAAATTGCCCCTCCGGTCATTTGCTTCTGTGGTGGTGCCTTTCCAATCTAGTAGGCCAGGGAGGTTGTTTCATCCAACAACTTCTGTTGCGCCTTCTCAGACATATTTTGTTGTGTGCTCCTGGTTTTCATGAAGGACTACCCGAGCTCTCAGTCTACCGAATTTCGTTGTAATGTATCCCACTTGTTCCAGCTATCTTTAAGTACGATTACCCTTCTGATTCATCCTTAACAAGGACGTCTCTTCACAAACTGTTCTTTCGCCAACCGAACAACTTATCATTGAGTGCTGATCACAATCAAGAACAGCTTACTTTGATAAACAATCAGTAGGTTTATTGCTGGGCCAAACCTCTCTGAAACGATGACTATCCAATAGGTCCCAAACATTTTTCAGCTTACTACGCTGTTGAATTACGCAGTGGGTCGCTCTTTCCTAACACGATTCTTTGGAAGTTCCTCGCGTGTTAAATCAAAATGGATGGTAAATTTAGCCAAAAATTCATCAGATTTCTGGAAATTTCAATTTACCAAGTTGAAAGGAACCGGGGAAATAGTTGAAACGGGTTGGTTGAATTGCATTTCACATGCGGAGGATTCCTCTCCGCATTACACAGGGTTACTTCCGTCTCCTACAGTTTATTTACGTATGCACAATACACAGTAGGTGTTTCTCACATGTAGCTACTGGCAACTACAAACAACGATGTATGGTAAGATTGATCGGAATTTTCCTACACCTCCGTACCGGTCGGCCTTGTTTAGGGTTAAATCGCAGTCGTTGCTACACCTGTTCAGCATGCAAACAAGTGATTATCGAACCAACTGGTCTGGATCAAAAGGATACCACCTGTTCTTGGGCGCACAACACGGTCTTTTTCATCTGGTTGCCTAGGACAGAAGCGACCTTACTTCTCAAACCATTCACGTCCTACCGCACCAACAGCTTTTGAAGCTACTAATTTAAGTAATTTTCGTTCCTCGATCAAAGTCCTCAGTCTGGCTCTCAGAAGAAAAGCGTAACTTCAACAGACGGTCAGTCTCATATTTGTGCCTGGTATTTCGCTTTTGGTTATCGAGGGACATGGTAAAGCTGTCATGTGACAGTTCCCAGGCTGTATCAGGTTTTTCTTAGATGTACATGTAGAATGACACTCACCGGATTCTCGAACCGATGTTTCATGCCCAATGGAGCATATCCATTGGTGGTCACGTAGAAGGGTTAGATTAACCTAGACGCACTATTTCTTCTTGGTTCCTTAGTTTTAAAAAAATGTATCATAAGTGTATTTGATCATCGTTCAATTTTCATTTGTTTTTCCGAAGTGGACGTCTCCGACTAAATTAACTGCATGTACCTCTTCATCTGCGTCCCACACAGGTGAACGGTGCGTCTGCGGCACTTGGGTCACTCCTGCTTTCCACTTCAATCGCAATCACCTCGATCGGATTGATAGACGTCTGGCCTCATCCCAGTCAACAACGCAGCCACTGTTTTCTGCCCCCAATAAGGTGGAACCTACCAGTACGTCTTCGTCGCCGTCTGTGGCCATCAAGTGAAATTTTATATACTTTCCTTGTCCTTCACGTTCGCTCTGCACAAAGCTATTTTGAATACATTCTTCCTCGAATCTTGTTTATTTTTAACCTTACTGGAGGGAACCGACTACAGATAATTGTTCACATCGGTGGTGCAGTTTCGCCAATCCTATTCATCTATGCTTTTGAATTTTCATCTGCGGGCTCAACAACCAACGTGATGCTCAACAACCAATTAAACCGCTAAAGTCTTTGACGGAACTCTTAATGTTCCAGCGTTGTTCGTAGAACTCAGTTAGTCGTAGAATTTTTCAAATCTCCTTCCCCACATCATGTTTAAATGGAACGTAGACAAGATCAGGGAGAGTCAGTGCAAAGGAGCAGTGCACACAAATGTTCTTTGGTCTGTTCGCTGAACTGAGCGGTTTGGCTGTAGACCTTTCATAACCAATCAGGTGGACATCATTAGGGCGCTGCTTGGAAGCACAGCCTCTACGCTTCACTCTGCTCCCTATCAGCATACTGATGATGTTTCCCCGATTGGTGGTGAAACGGCTGCAACCAAATTACCCAGCTCAGTGAGCGAATCGAAGACCTGGGCTACTAACATTCTCCTCAATAGCGAATACACACAAACACCAAGGAAACTTGTCTCGGTCATTTCTCCGCAAAGAAACCCTTCAGCTGTAGCGCTTTTTCCTGTGCCTGGCTGCCATTCCACCGGAAGGAAGCACGAGAGCTGCGATACTGTCAAGTTGCCCAAGCCTAGACAGGGGAAGTCGAGAGGCAGAGATCGGGTTTGAGCCACGGACCTTCCGCTCAGTAGATTTGTGCTCTAACCACTTGAGTCATCTCGCAATTTCCCCGCAAGAAACAACGTGCCGTTTAGTGCCAGCCAGCAGAAACCTCTGTCCTCAGCCGTGGTCCATTGACTCATGGCGAGGGTGGCTAGATATACTTTAATTTCCGCGCACGACCCACAGTCTGATAAAGTCGATCCAGTGATTGCCAGTGCAGCTATCGGTTGAACAAAGTACTCCTCTAATTCAATTCGTTAGTTTTCGGCCTTTTATAACCAGCTTACTTTTAAACTTCACTGGGAGTTCACACAACATGCAAAAAGAAAGTAGGTTATTTTCCCCTCGCACAGCGTACTACTCAGTGATGCTAGAAACTCCTCGACAGCCCGCTAGTTCCGCCATTCCTCGTCCAGTAGAAGCAGTCCCAGATTTCCCATTCTCCTCACGTTCTGCATGTGATTGGACTATTACCCTAGTTTTCAAATTGCTTTGGTATTAACGAGTGACTCAGTTGAATCTCGTTTAATGAGACCGTCTTTGTGCAGCGCAGTTAACTGATGGCTATCGCTGAGCGTCTCACTAACCCAAGTCATTGTGTTTTGCCAGGAATGTTGTGCTCGAATCGTGCTTATTACGAGGAAGAGCAAAACTCTGCCTTCCGCAATCTCCACAGATTTACCACTGACCGCTGGCATTCATGTTCAAACGAACGTGTTTAATTTTGAACGATGTGATTTCCGGAATGACTACTTAGTGAGTAACTTTGTTGCATCACTCGCCTGTTGGGGCACCACATTCGGCTGGTGGATGCATAAAAATTGCTAGGCAATAGCCACAGGATCTGTAGAATTTGGGTTTGGACGTGATAATGTAGGTGCGTCTAGATAGAGTATCGGCAAACCCCTTCACATCCTAGCACAGCTAAGGTCTAGAAAGAGTAGAAATCGAATCCAATGTTCCCTTGCTCTGAAGTGGATAAACCGGAATAAGTGTATCAGAGCATGAGGTCTGTTCAGACGAGAATAGTTTGCATAAGTAGGCGAAAGCGTCTTGCATATGCATTCAAAATCGCCCCGATCATCAGTGCGTGCTTCCCCGGCTCCTTGAGGCTTGTTGAATGACCTGCTGGAGATTACAACATATCCCGTTCAGTCGCTTATTGAGACCGATTAGCTATGACCCGAAATGGACCACTGCACAAGAGCCAGGTAGATATACCTTCATTCTTACACGGTTGTCGCGTGGTTATGCAGCCTACGAGTGAATATGGCCTACTAGGCCTAATACACCACTCACAAGGTTGCTGAAAATTCTTCGACAGCCCACGACCGGTTTCGCCCTTCTTTTTGGGGCTCATCAGGTAGGCGCAGTCCCCGAATTCCCACCAACCTTATGTTCTACTTCAACACGAAATTAGCAAAATACAGTCATTTGCAAACCAATCTCGTTTTGCTGGAGGCTCACCTGGAACCCAGCTGAATCTTTCGTTTATGTCGTAAAGTTTTCAGCAACCTTATGCTTAGTGTATTACATCCAATAAGTGCATGTGAAATTTACACTCGCAACCCACGACAGGAGACCACACTATCCATTCTGCCAGTCGGTAAATCCTGCAGGCTGCCTATTTAGTGACACCAGATAGTTGGTGAACGCAGCGTAGAACAGTATCTACATTATTAGGCTTTGCGTTGCAACAGGCGATTCAGATATCGAGGCAGAATCGACAGCGCTGGTCAGTTGTCTGATCTATCATGGCAAACACCATGTGATGGCAAGTTAAGAGCACGCAACGCTAAATGAACTTCGGGGGGATCAATCCCAAACTGTACCTCGCCTAGCAAGCCAATAGGCGAACTGTCTTTGTTGGATCCGAGTTAGCTCGTTTTGTGTTCTTTTCCCATCGGGAGCATAGGCATAGCACAAGTGATTTCAAATGGATTCAACTCCTGAACACACATCGGCTTTTTAGCAATTCACTGAGTGAAGAAAAAACGATTGAAGCTTCATGAAAAATGCGGACGGATGCGGCGAATGAGGACACGGGACAACGGAGCAACCAATGGAACCGCCCGACCGAACAACTAATCGCGATCGAAGGTCATCCCCGGCTAGCAGCACGTATATTAACACACACGTAACCCTACTCAACGCACAACCACTAACCCACCGCTACGCAAAACTACGCTCCCCAATAACGCACTGATGATGTCACCTCGATCGGTGATGAAACGTTTGCAATCAAATTGCCCAGATCAGCGAACAAGCCAACGACCAGTATCATAGATATTCCCAGATCTTCAGATGGTGGAAGAATACGGGAACAGAAAAGAAATTGCAATTCACCACCGCCTCGGCCCAATACTGGCCATGCGATTTCCCCACGATGTTGCAATAACGACACCGCACCATTAAGAACGTTAGAATGAAACAACACGAATAAGGGATGGATGAATTTTGTAACCTCTGAACCCAAGAAATACATAACAAATACATAAGCAAGGACATTACAATACACTGTGGAAGGTCTGAACGAAGTACCACGGCGTGATGCGCACAGCAATGGAATTGTCACCGGCAGATGGTTTGGGAACGCGCGAAACGCGTAGTTAGTAAATGTGCAACAAGGTAACGCGACATATCATTAGTTCTTCCGTTGGTAGTTGATGAGATTTTGGAAATTTAATGCTACTCGAGGAGCCAGTTAATGCATGTGTGGATCGCGTAATTGAAGCTTTCGTGGCTCTGTATCCTGTCTAGGTGCGAGATAGTGGCGTTGCTGATCAGCCGCTAGTGGTTGGTAAGGTTTTCAGATCACTAGCCGGAAGGTCACGGGTTCCAAACTCCCTGAAGCCACACACTGCTGGCGAATTCCAATAAGGATCTAAACGCTTCTCAGCTTTTCACTATTGACCGGGTCTAGTTACATGAAGGGACGATTAGAATCCTTGACCCTCCACATACTACTAGCAACCCATAAGTAACTCAGAGGAAGAATAAAATTCACATGATCAATAAAACTTCCATCGGTGAAGCAGTTGCCCGAGGGGCCAGTCAACACGTGATGTGGATTGCTGAATGTGTGGTGCTCTGTCTTGTCTAAGTGCGAATTAATCACACTGTTTCACTTACAGGATGAAGTCTCCATCATCGTTCTCTCTGTTCGTCAACAAGCTGATCGATTATCAGTTTGACAATGGAGACTTTTTCTATTCCGATTGACGCTGGAAGTCTTATCGGAGTGCCTTTTGTTTTCTATCGAGACATCTTGTAACTGATGCCGAAACACCTTTTTTGTTTCTGAGGTCACCTCAGCTTGATACATCATGTACAACACGAGCAATGAATGGTCTGTACGAATGGAAACATCGAATCGCGTTGACGCTTCGGATCAGCCATCGTCAGCGACTTTTTCCATAGTTGAGACACGTTGGTGGGGGCTATCTGATCGGTTTTGCTATAAGGACGGTTGTGTGGTCTCTGGTTGAAGGTGGTCTTTGAACTTGGAGATTCTGAAGCCCTCAAATCAAACTTTTGAAAACTGAGGAGTTTTTATGATCGAGAGGTCTATGTATGCGCTGATGCAACGGTGCCAAGCTGTGTGATATTTACATTACGCTGATCACCGGCAGCCGAGGCACGCCCGCCGCCAGCTGACATCACTCTAGTCGGAAGAACATGGCACAAAGTACACTTCCGAGACCTTACTTATAAAAGTCAACGCAGTCAACCGAAGACTGTCCCACAATCAAGCATGGTCATACAAACCGGATGAAGCCTTTCTCAATTCATGTGTGTGCAGTTAGTCTACTGCTGTTCTGGACACTGCTCTGACGAAGGCCACTCGAAACGTCGATTAGATACCATCCTGAGTTCACGATGTTGTTCAGGGATACTCTGGGATGAGCTTAATGGTGAATCCAATTATTGATTGGTGCCTAAGCTGACTGTAAGTGGAAAACGCTCTGCACTTGTGTTTGAACTTGCGGACGCATTTCGAACTATTTTCCTCGGTTAGTTGATATTTATACTTAGTGAAGACTTCATCCTTAGTTCCACCTACCCTGAACTTATTAGTGCACTGTTGATGATGGCCATAATACAATTCAGAAGGTATATGCACTAATAAAGGTTTTCAGTATAGTTGACAATTGTGAGATGTTAGACGTATAAAAATAAATACAATACAAAATGGGAGCAAGTCAAAAGAGGAACTTATCGTCTGTGAGAGTCTGTTGGTGAAATTCCGGACGGCGGGAACGTGTTTTCTCCGCAGTATGACTGCTACAC